CACCCGGGACACAGACACCCGGGACACAGGCACCCGGGACTCATACACCCAGGACACAGGCACCCGGGACTCATACACCCGGGACACAGGCACCCGGGACTCATACACCCGGGACACAGGCACCCAGGACACAGGCACCTGGAACATAGTCACCCGGGACACAGGCACCTGGGACTCATACACCCGGGACACAGGCACCCAGGACACAGGCACCTGGAACATAGTCACCCGGGACACAGGCACCTGGGACTCATACACCCGGGACACAGGCACCCAGGACACAGGCACCTGGGACTCATACACCCGGGACACAGGCACCCGGGACTCATACACCCAGGACACAGGCACCTGGGACTCATACACCCGGGACACAGGCACCCAGGACACAGGCACCTGGAACATAGTCACCCGGGACACAGGCACCTGGGACTCATACACCCGGGACACAGGCACCCAGGACACAGGCCCTGGTCCAGCCCAACCCGTGGGAAGAGCATTTTTCTGCCATTGCTGACACTTTCAGGTGACAGATTGAGGGAAGAGCCACTCATTCTGTAGAAAGGGCCAGGAAAGAGGTGCTATTTGAGCTGAGTCGAGGAATTCGTTTTGTTTGTTAACTGGAAGATTTTAAATGCTCCCACTTTTCTCCCTCCTCAGGCTGCAGAAAAGAATTCAAGAACTTGGAAGTAGGCTGTAAGTCTCATGACCCAGAATCACATCCACAAATAAAAAACCCTGTAATGAAAAGGTAAGGAGGGACAGTTGGGAATATTAATGTCTTTTTCATAAGTGGGTGTATTAGAGGAACGCTTCACTTACAGACAGGCACAGTGCCCGTTACTACCCGCAGCCGTGGCCTGCGGCATGCTGATGCCCGTCTTATTGGGGGGCAGTTAGAAGGATGTGGACCTAAGGAGAGAGGGCCACGGGCACGACACAATTCTTCAGTCCTCGTAGATCCTTACAAAGTAGATGGTATTTTGCAAAAGAGAAAATTCGGGACTTAGATGAAGCAATTTGTCCAAAGTAGTGGAGCTGAGACCTGACCGTAGCTCTTTTCTACCTAGCAGAGCCTCAGCTCTCCATCCTTCTGTAATGCCCATGATAAAAATGACCAGGTGAGCAAAACTGTTTGCAGTGTGCTACCTTTTATCTTCACCTTAGAGGTTAATCACTACCTAAATAGACCTAATCTTGGTTAACTAGATTATTTTAAATTAGTCTCCTATCCTTATGTGCCAAGATTAAAGTACCTCCATTACTGTAAACTCTGCAATGTTGGTTGGGAAGTGTCTTAGGGAATTAAAGAGTTTGCTGGGAATATCTTCCTTAAATCTGAAATTCACAGCTTTTGAAATCACACTTCTAATGCTTAGAAACTTGATTTCGTTTTTTTAAATCACACTTCTAACTCTTAGAAACTTGGCCGGTGTTTCTGGTAAGCACTCCCGTCTGGTTGAGAGTCAGAGTGTAAGACGTTAATGCTTCAGATCCCTTCCGTTTCTGTGATGTCACAAAAGTCGCCTAACGTGCTGCTGTGAGGGGAGGTGACCGGACAGTTCCCTCCCGCACCGCCTGCTCGCATGTGGGGCTGTAGCTTCGCTTTGCTTTTCTACTCCAGGTCCCGTGGACGCGACCCCAGCGGGAAGCTGCTCCCTGCGTCGGGGCCACACGTCCTCCGGGGCCTCCCAGCTGGTGAGCTCACCCTGTCGGGGGAGCAAAAGCCTGAACAGGCCAGCGAGTGCCAATTTCCCGCTCAGCCAGATGGAGGCAGCTCCGAGGGGACAGGTGTGCTCTCTCACACCGATGCTAGTCCTGCTTCTGGAATGAGAACGAACAGCGATGACTTCGCACCAGCCTCGGTGCCAGGGAGAGCTGCCGGGCTCCCGCCCAGCGCTGCCCCCCTCGCCCGGCAGTGCATGGCCATGGGCCCGTGCTCCCCGGAGACCTCCCCACCCAGGGGGCGAGGGGCTCCGTCCCCTCGCAGAGCCGACGGTGGTCAGGTGCCAAAACTCATTTGCCAGAATCCACCACCCCCTTTGCCACCAAAAAGGTATGCTGTGACCCGTGTGCCACAGCCAGGGAAAAACGGCCCTGCACCCGCGGCCAGGCTCCCAGAGGCGCCCAGTGCTCGCTCGGCTGGTCCTCCGCCGCTCAGCACGGGGACAGCAGAACCGGGCTCCACAGTGAGCGCCCCTTCCCAGGACGAAAGGCTCAAGCAGACGGTCCATGCGAGAGAGCGCATGGGCGCCGCCCGGAACCCCCCGGCCAGCTCAGCCAGCGGTGCCCAGGCGGGCCTGGGGGCAGGTGTGGCTGCCTCGTGCCAACCAGCAGACTGGAGTCCGGCCTGTCCCAGGGAGACCATCTGCCTCACCACCTACTTCTCCGTCGACAGCTGCATGACCGACACGTACAGGCTCAAGTACCACCAGAGGCCCAAGCTCTGCCTCCCGGAGCGCTCCAGCTGGGGGAGCGAGAACCCGGCCCCTCTGGGCGCAGGAGGCCTGGGACCTACACTGCCGGACAGCCTCGGGGCAAGCTGCCCTCCTGAGCAAAGACACAAACCCAGTGTCCACTGTGATAGATGAACCAGGACCCCGCAGCTCACGCTCAGAGGCCATCACAGCAGGAGGGAGATCGACGGACCGAGCCTAGTGAGCAATGAAACGAAAACCGTGGTGTTTGTCATTTGTCACTTTAGCTTCCTCTGTGTACTTTACCTCGAGACAATCAACTTACTGGGTATTTTAGAAATCCGTTGAGTCTTGGCTTGCCTCGAAAAATAGGGGCGTGCAGAAAGTCACTTATTGTATGCTGTGGTTGAATAAAAATGGAGTCTGTCCCTTTATTTTGTGGTTGGTAGAACCCCGAGTGTGAGAGGACCCAGAACTCGTGTGTGGAGATGGCTACCCTGTGCTAACTGAAACGTGCCAGGGGATGTGTAGCGGCAGGCAAAGCCGGCTGGGCTTTCTGAACAGGCACTTTCTCGTAGGGCCAAAGGACACTTGGCCAGCCCGTGGGTTCCGACTTCTTAGACAATACCAACCCGTGAAATTGATAGCATTTGGGGGAAAAGCCTTAATGATAAAGACATTTTTAAAATATATATATTTTTTATTGATTTCAGAGAGGAAGAGAGAGGTAAATAGAAATACAAACATCATGATGAGAGAGAATCATTGATCAGCTGCCTCCTGCACGCCCCACACTGGGGATTGAGCCCGCAACCCAGGCCTGTGCCCTGACTGGGAATCGAACCATGACCTCCTGGTTCATAGGTCGGCGCTCAACCACTGAGCCACACTGCTGGGCAATAAAGAAAATTATAAATTCAATACTCAAGGTCAAAACAGGAGAAACTTATTTTGCTCCTAGAACTTTCATATTCAGAATGCCTAGTTAACATCAGTTTGGCCTTTGACTGTTGTATCAATAAACAATACTTCAGCCAGGTAAGCTAAAAATAATAAAATACTTAGCTTTAGTATATTTATTTATCTTGTTACTTTTTTAAACGTTTGTATGAAATGTGAATGGCCTTTATTTTGGTGTGGTTACTGTGGGCTGCTAGTGACCAGTGTTGGAAGGTGACCTAGTGCCTCCTGGGAACCTCAGTGGCCGCCTGGCTTTTCTCTTCTGTCTGTAGGTTGGCAACCCATTTTGTTGATTTTCTGATTCTTGTATCTGAAAATCCTTGCGGGTTTCCAGATAAAATTGTTGCCTTTGATTTAGAGGGTTTAATTTGAATGAATGTCGTTTTACCCTAACTACACTCATGGAGTGGGCTCTATTTTTAAATAAAATAAAGGAATCTCCCATTATTACGATGAACTCACAAGTGTGTGAGTTACTTTGTCTTATGACTTTATTAGTTGTCATTCTGTACTAACTGAGGAACCTAATTGTGGCTCAACTGAGTTTCACATTGTCCACACCCGAGAATGAAGAACGACACACTGAAAGCTTTTCTTGCCTTTGCCAGTGGGTAAAGTTTATAGGTAGAACTTGATCATTTATAAACTGATTACTAAATTTAATACTTTGACCAATTCCATAAATTAAAATATTCCAAAATGTAAATGATTAAAAATACTTCTAGACAAATAGAAAGTAATTGCTTACAAAAATCTAACTTTACCCAGTTATCAAATCTTAGAGTTGTCTTCCACCAAGAAGGCTTTTTAATAGCCTTTTCTAACTACGATAGTGATTGTTACCTTCTCTTCATTTAGAAATACTTGAATATCAACTAAATTACATTTTATCTTTTAAGAAAGCGTATTTTTAACATGACTTTGAGTATGGAGCATTTGTAAATATTGTAAACTTTGTAAACTTTGAAATGTCAGTGTATATAAACATTGCTTTTATAACATTGTAACATACTAGAAAATGGGCTTCATGTATTTTTAATAGCTTTCAAAAATCTTTTGTGTAGGTTTTTATTCTACTGGTCAAGATGTTCAGTTGAGATGTATTATTTGAAATAGCTAAACTGATTTCTGATATTTAACAGCCATCTCATAGATTTGAATTTACACTCACAGTTGAGTTCAAACTAGGAATGCCCCCTTGGACTCCTGTTAGAGTGCTGTCCGGCCAAAACATCCCGAATCATGTAACAGCTTGAACAGGCTGGAAATGACCGTTCGTCTTCATGTGAGAACACTCCAAATACAGTTTGAGTGCTTATTTAGTAACTAATAATCCACATCTAAAATTTTTATTTTTAGGGTGCCTATTTATTTTTATAGGTGTTTTCTGCTTATAAACTATGATAATTTTGAAATAATGCAACCAATTGTAATGTTCAAAATACTTGTCTTCCAAATGTTCTATTTTCATGTGAAATGAGTTTTTCCAGTTCAAATTTTTTTTTTTTTTAGATAAACTGATCTTTAAGTTGATATGGTTGGACCTTTCTTTGCATTCATGAACTGTGGCTTCTTCTCCCCCCACGTGGATTATATACTTTATGTGAAATATGTCCATTTAAAGTTCAGGGGGACTTGGAATGTCACTGACCACCAAGTGTTGTCACAGGAGGCTCCTGAGGGAAACGGCAGTGAAGCCTGAGCAGCCCCCACAGGAGCGGGCGGACTCGGTGAGGGGCCAGGCAGCACTCGAGGCCTGTGGACACGGGTCTGCAGCTCACCGCTCAGCTCCGCCAGGGCTGGGGAAGCAGGCGTGTGCCAGGGAAATGTGGACGTGTACACTTGAGATGTCATTCAATTTTTACATGTCAGGAAATAATCCATTCTCTCCCGCCACTTTCTCAGCTCACGGGCCTTAGAAAGAGAGGCAGTGAGTGGGCCAGCTGTGGGACACTGGCCAGTTTCATGACCCTTGTCCTGGAGCATTATCCACATTGGCTGCCCTACTGACCCTCAACACCCTGTGGGCTCCGAGTGAGTCCGTGCAGTGAGGGGTGGGAACGGGCAGCACTTCACATCCTAACACTTTCAGGCTAACAGCCTTCCGCACGGCTGCTAATCAGCCAGTCATTTCAAATGGTTGTGAAAACAGCCGTTTTACTTCCAAGCTTGTGAAACTTAGCAGATTAAAGTCATATCGCTGTTATTCTTTTGATATCTTTGTTCTTGCCATAGCAAGTGTGCCAACGTCCTTGGTGTCCCATTTACCAGGGTGGAGGCTTAGAAGCCGTCAGCGTGGGCACGTGAGCCGTCACTGCTTGAGGCCGCAGCTCAGTGGTAGTGCCAATTCTTACTCAGCACCTGGAGGACAGGTTCCGCCTCACCTGCCACCACTTCCGGGTGCCATCAGAGCCAGGCCCCGCACCGAGCCTTCGTGTCACCCGTGCAGAAATGCTCAGAATGTGCCATCGCTGTGTGTGGGCTGATTTAGGCTCGGAAAGGTGGTGTGCAGTGCAAGCTCGTGCGTGACTCAGCAGTGAGTAAGCTACATGAGAACCGTCATCCTGTCACAACCTGCACATCAGACCAAGTAAGCTGCACAATAAACATTTATTGGACAAAATTACCAGCCAGCAACACAGAAACAGTTCATACAATGTTTGGATATGGAAGGAAATCCCAGTTCTGTGTTTCTCTAGATGAGTGATTCCCAAAGTGGGCGCTACCGCCCCCTGGTGGGCGCTGGAGCGATGGGGGGGGGCGGCGGTGATGGCCACAGGTGCATTTGGGGGCATATATCTTTGTTTAATTGCTATTAAAATTTTTAAAAAATTAATTTCCAGGGGGCGCTGAGTAATATTTTTTCTGAAAAGGGGGCGGTAGGACAAGTTTGGGAACCACTGCTCTAGATGCTCCCACCTTTGCCAAAAAAGGTTTTCTTCAGAGAGCAACGGTACCCTGGAGGCATCATTGTTAACCTTGTAGTTGACAGATAAAGTCCTCCCAAATCAGTCCCAGATTCCACAGTAACCCAAGTGCCATTCTGAAAGGCAGAGGACGCAGCGTTCACCAGATCCATGCCCTGATTTGAAAGAAGGGGCGTCTCCCCAAAATACGTAGGCGATTCACATCCATCCGATGTCCCCCATTTCGACAAGAGGCTGTTCCGAACATTGTATGTAAAGGAGTGTCTGTCCTGTAACGTCTGAAGGGCGTATCGTAGCTACTGAGTGCGCCCTGCTCCTCAGATGCCAGCGGCGCACTCCTAGGATGTAAATTCTTGTTTATTCAGAGAAAAACCAAGGTGCTGAGCCCCACGAAGGCAGTGATTTCGGTTTTGTTCACCGCTGTACCCGGCCCATCCAAGTGCTCAAATATTTGTTGAGTGAATAAATATGCTGATTTTGCTGAATAGTTAAGTTACAATAATTATAAAAACAAACATGTTTGGGCCACAACCATTCTTAATGTAACCACAATAATAAATAATAGGATTGAAACACGCTGTCCTCCTTTAGGGAGTTCAGGAGCTAAAAGGAAGAGGGGAGCACTGGGCAGTCGCTTTCCACTACTGGATATTATATACTTTCTCTAAGGTTTATGACAGCCTGGCATCCTCCCAGGGGCCGAGCGCATCTAGAACTTTACCTGGAATCTTGCGAGAAACAAACAAAGCGGGGCAATATCGCCGTACCTTAAAGAAGCTGTTCGAATGTCGCAGGTAAGAACTCGGAAGTGACAATACGCTACATCGATTCAATCAGCTCTGATGCAGACCGCGCATCATGCTCAGC